TCCTTAAATTTCGAAGTATTGCAGTTTCAAGCATACCTGAAATTTACCGTTATATGAAAAGCGGCCTCAATTTTAGTTTGATTTCAACAATTTTCAACGGTTTGCTTTTATGTGGCAAGCACAATAACCATACCGAGCTTGGTACAAATTGCTAGAACGGTTAGCGAGATACATATATGTGATCACAAGTGGGCGGTGCTACGCCCATTTTCCAAAATTTTGTCATAAACGTATTTCTTGGTAAAGAATTGTTGCAATCATCAATTTTGAATAAATTAGCTTTGATATTTACTGATTTATCGAAGATTTTGTATTTCTCGAAATTACCGTTATATGGGATGTGGGCGTGGTTATTATCCGATTTTAGAAATTTTCGGCCAGTTTGTATGCTGTACCAGGACCAACAACTGTGCCAAGTTTGGAAGAAATTGGTGTAGCGGTTACCAAGATACACACATGTAACCATAAGTGGGCGTGGCTACGCCCATTTGCCAAAATTTTGTAATATTCTTATTTTTCGTCTAAAACTCATTGCAAATATCAATTTTGAGTGAATTATCTTCAGTAGTTACTAAAATATCGCAGTTTTCGTTTTTCTGAAAATTACCGTTATATGGGAGGTAGGCGTGGTTATTGTCCGATTTTTAAAATTTTCAGGCATTTAGTAAGCTGTACTAAGGCCAACAACTGTGCCAAGTTTGGAAGAAATTGGTGCAGCGGTTACCAAGATATACACATGTAACCATAAGTGGGCGTGGCTACGCCCATTTTCCAAAAATTTATAATATTCATGTTTTCCGTCTGAAACTCATTGTAAGTATCAATTTTAAGTGAATTATCTTCAGTAGTTACTAAAATATCGCAGTTTTCGTATTTCTTAAAATTACCGTTATATGGGAGGTAGGCGTGGTTATTATCCGATTTCGCCCATTTTCAATACCATCCGTCCCACGCCCAAAAGAAGTTCACGTACCAAGTTTCGTTAAGATATCTCAATTTTTACTCGAGTTATCGTGTGCACAGACGGACGGACGGACGGACGGACGGACAGACAGTCACCGCTTAATCGATTTCTCTTTTCATTCTGATCATTTATGTATACATTTGTCTATATCTATCTCGATTCGTTTTGCCTGTTACAAACAACCGTTATGTGAACAAAGATATAATACCCTTGTGCACAAGTGCGCTCGGGTATAAAAATGCTAATTTCTTTTGAAATCTTGGCAAAAATGTTGTTGAAGTAGAAAAAATAATAAAAATTTTTGTAAATTTCAGATTGATTCTAAACATTTTCCACATACATATTTAATGTGCTTCCAAAACTTATTCGGGGTATTCACAACGGTTTCGTAAGTGTCGTATTGTTGTATATCGTAAAATACAAACGCCTAGAAAATATATTAAGGGGGTTCGCAAAGTAAAAAACAATAATTGGTTGTCGTTTCAAGTTCTCTAAACATTTACTTAAGATTTTAAAGTATACGACATTTACGACACCGTTGTTAATCCCTCGATTATTTATTTAAATAGAACAGATATTCTTCTTTCTAAAGCCATATAAAAACTTCAAATTGGTTACAAATAACCGAGCTAAAAATTGGTTAGTAACGGAAGTCATGCGAAAATAGTTGTTTAATAATAAGTTGAGAATTTGTGAGTGTTAGAAAAATTTTGAAAACAGTTTCGTGAATTCCTCGGCCAGCTCTTACTAGGTCACTTACAAAGATTTTTTTTTTTATATTTTGTGACTCCGTGTTATTCAAGGTAAACGATGGGCGCAAGGGTGTAAAAACTTGTATTTTTAATAAAATTGTTAAACACAAAAATAGCAAGTTCCTGACAGCGGATTGAGGTAGAGAGTAGCAAAAAACAATATACATAATTTTATTGGCGTTTATAAAGCTTACATGAGAAAAGGGTTGAAAGTTTTACCCATTTGGCACATTCTTATCTGAAACGGCTTAGGAAACCATACATTATAGGCCTACTTCGCATTCAATAGTTTTATATACAAGTAATATACAACAGAGAACTATAAGTCGCTGATCACTCTTACTCTTTACCTCTAAGAAAAATACGAAGAGCTTCAGGGCTTTTACACTTTTAAAAACTGTTTGCAAATTATCCTTATCAAATATACATGCACACATGTTTTTGTACAATAAAAAAATATATCAATCACACTGCTTTTAATGTAATTATATTTTAAAATCAGTTTGTTGAAATTGATTTGTTTAAAAAATGCAAGTTCAGCGACTTTCGACATATTGACATAACGCCAAGTTAGGTTGCAAATAAATAGAATTTTGTTAAATGAGATAAGAAAGTTGCCAATAGGAAATTTCCATGTTTAACACCTAGCCATGGCATATCGTGTGCAGCAAAATTGGGACGAAAAAGGTGAACTATAGCCATGAGGACACTGGCCAAATTCTCAAGTACTCAATCCTTATGAGATTTTCCCTCCCCTTCTATGTGTTATTCAATTCAGAGCGCCTTCCCTCATACCAAAAAAAAATAAATATGTATTAAAAGTATTTAAAAAATATAACTTAATTTACTATTCATTCTTCTAGATTCTCTCTTTTAGTATTTTAATTTTAACTTGCGGCAATGGCAGAAGCGAAAATCCCTAAAGATTTGTTTGTGGTTCCTTGACCAAAAATTAACTTCTGGTTAAGCACTGCAATAACCAGAACGTATGTATTTAATGAAACTAGATTACCTTTTTTCATAATGGATTACATGGGTGGAAGGAATCTCAACTGCGAAGACTGGGTGGAGCTAAAGGTATTCTGACAAGAAAAAGCATTCACTCATATAATGTGGCTAATTACTGAGAACCTGGCGGCTGTGGCCACAAAATGGGACTTAGAGTACGTTGTAATCATGGAATTTTGTTACCTGGCGCCAGATACAAATGTAAACGACTTTCTTTAGTTGTTCAGCGCATTATTGAGCTAGTTAGGTGCGTGTTTACCCTACTTTCTAGTATTTGCAAAGCAATTTAAGTGCAGCTAATAGCGCCAAGGTCTAGTAACTGATTTAGGGCCGTTTTCTCAAGCAAGTTTTAAAATTTATCTGGACTTTAAAAAAAATGTTGTTCTGAAAAAAAAAATATTTGAAGGGCAGATAAATTTTAAAACTTACTTGAGAAAACGATACTTAACCTTTTATTCTAAATCTGGTGCATTGGTAACGGAATGAAGCATTCATAGCAGGCCTTGTTAAAAATACTTCCAATAGGAATTCAAGGCTAACAATAGTTTAATAGTTAAATAGTTTTGTGGAGTTGATTGAGAACCGGCTTTCTTGAAAATATTTCAAATTTTTAGGGAGCATTTCAAGATTTTCGGAACTGTCTCGGGATTTTGGGGACTACTTCCACATTTTCGGAACTATTTCAGATTATCGGAACTACTTCGTGATTTTCGTAACTATATCAAGGTTTTCGGAACTTTTTCGGTATGTTAAGAAATAAAATATATCTGTGATTTGCTTCGCTGAGCTGAGATGAGGTGAGTTAAAGTGAGGAGCGGTGAGTTTAGGTGAGCTGAGTTTAAGTGAACTGAGTTGAGTTAAATTGAGGTGAGGGGAAGTTAGGTGAGGTGAATTGAGCTGAAGTGAGGTAAGTGGAAGGTAAGGTGTTAATTCCTTTATTTGAAAGTATTTCACCATCCACTAAATACCTTAATATGTTTGTGGGAGTATTTTGTAACTCTGAAGTACCTGAGGACTTTAAATCAGGGTGTTTATCGTCTGCTTAATACTTTCCTTTTTTGCACTCCAGAGTACCTTAGTTTTTAATTGAATATTAGCAACCCTTAAATACGGCAGTATTTTTTATTTGAATACCTAACAACTCCTAAATAACAAAGTTTTTCTTTTTTAATAATAATATTAATAAATAATTTTTTTTTTTTACTTGAGTATTTAGACAAAGTCAAATACTAAGTATTGGGTATTTAGTACCCAAACTAATACTTTAAGTACAAAAGTATTTAAGTATGCCCATCACTGCTCTATGCGAAATTTCGCATTGGGCACTGCCACTGAGGGCAATGCATCAAATATGTAAATATATATAAATATATATATATATGAATATATATATTTTGTCGATGTTGTTTCCAAGTAAATGCTTTACTTATTATTAAATGCTTAGTCATTAATCATCAACAACTAATAAATTAGTGTAAACAACCATTGTAAACAAGTAATATTCTAGATGTTCACAAATCATCAACCAGGAGCCAGCTAATTAGTGTCGTAAAATGAAACGAGAGGAAAATTACAGGAGGCAAATATGTATGTATGTACATATGTATTACTTGAACGAATTTAATTCAATTTATGAATTAAAAAATTTGAAAACACCAAATACTACCATTTGTTTTAAATGTAGGCATCTATTAATGCTTATTAAAATAACTAACAACAACAATAAAAGAGAAAGTACTGCATACTTTATCAATTAGCTTATCTGTTCCATGCAAATCTACTTCGACCAGCCGCCACCGGTTAGCGATTCTCCCGTTACATATTGCTGATTCTTCGTAGCGTAAGCACTGCGCATAGAAGTCAAGGGTTATCATTCGCAAACATTTGCTAAACATTGTTGCTATTGATGCCGTGGTACAAGGGAAGTGAACCTTATAACCCACAACAACAATGGCAATCACAACAATAAAATCATCGTCACCCTCTCTTGTCGTTATCACTATCTCGGGACCTGAGATTATGCTCGTGCTTTCGATCCGCGGCTACCGGCTGTTGCCTAGTCGCTTTCATTTGGCATTGCAGTGGTGGCGGCGGTTGTGAGAGTAACGGCTGGAATGCCTTGAGAGCATAGTGGTTTGGTTATTTCGAAAAAAAAAAATATTAATTTGAAAAATAAAATCTCCACTAAGCGGAGAAAAAGTGCCAAAGTTCGAAACAATAAAAGCCGTATAGGCGAATTTTCATTGCTATCCTAATCGCGATGACGAATTTTCAAGTTTGCCGTTGTTGTTTGCTAGAGAATCCTGCTTATACGTACAACATCTTCGGTGAAACTACGGTCGATGGCAAAGACTGCCACGTGCGCGACACCCTTGTCTGCGGTGTAGACTTGCGCGCCGCTTTGCTCACCTGCGTGCCCAATTTGCACCTTGCATTCGATGATGGACTGTCGGCTGTAATTTGCGACCATTGTTTTTTTGCGTTTGCGCGACACTTTGGAATTCCAGCGTCGCTGTGAAGAAAGCGAAAGTGAGCTGAGACGGCGCTATGCAGATACGGAACGTGCTATCGATGAGGCGCTACGCCTTGTAAATTTTCTCGACACTAAAGGCGTCAATGCAGCAGAGAATTTTGGATGTTGCCAAAGCGGATTGCAGCATACGGAGGAATTAGGTAAGCGAAAGATACAAATGTTTTACTAGAAAATACGCAAGCCTGATAGAAAGTGAATTCCCACTACCTTCATAGGGCCGAATGAGCTCGCCATGTTGGACGATCTATTGCAATTGGAAGAGCACAACCTCAAACGTGTGTGGGATGGTACGTTAGCTTCGCCGAATGAAGAAAATGCCGCACTTAAAGAAACCACAGATAGAGCAGTTGAGGAAGTACGGCTCTTGAACGATACGCCAATGGATAATGATATGAAGTCGGTGGCAGCTGTAGCGACCATTGAAAAACATGTTAACCCAAACACGCCAGTTAGTCCTCCGTCACACACCGATAGTTCCGCTTCCAATACTGATTGCTCCTCGTTGGATGCTTGTCAAACGCGAGATGTGTCGCTAAAATCACTACATCCTTGTCCCGAATGTGAAAAGAAGTTCACACGCAAATTCCAGCTTAGATTGCACATGATCTCCGTGCATAATTTGGGCGATGGCTTGCAGTACGAATGCAACGAATGCCACAAGACTTTCGCATCGCGTCACAGCCTCAGCTACCATCAGCGTTCCGTGCACTCGGACGAGCGGCCATTTGCGTGCACACACTGTGATCGTCGTTTCATTTTGCGCACACAACTCTCCTCACATCTGCGCATTCACACTGGTGAAACGATACCGCGCACCTTCGAGTGCCTTGAGTGTAGTAAACGTTGGCGCACCAAATCGGACTTGCGCACCCACATGCGGACGCATGTAAAGGTGCAAGAGCGTCCCTTTAAGTGCGATCAATGCGAGAAAGCATTCTTTACTCGCGGTCATCTCAACTCGCATCTGCTGGTGCATAGCGGCGAGAAGCCTTTCGCTTGTCCCACCTGTGGCAAGTCATATCAATGTGTGGGCAATTTAAATAATCACATGGCGCGGCAGCATGACTTCGAACGCGGTTTGGGACGTGGACGCAGCGCGAATGTTGAAAACGCAGAGATATAAAAATATGCATAAAATGTAGGAATTTTTAGATTTGTTTGTTACTTATTAATCGGTTATTGTACTTACTACATATTGGCTGCGTTTCTTTATACATTCCGGATAATCTCATTTCACAGCCGGAACAAACAGAATACGTTTGAAATATACGTTAGCATATCATCAGGAATATTCTAAAGAATAAGTAAACAAAAAAGTTTATTCCAAATGTTCAGAATGAATAAAGAAATGCAGCCATTGTTGTATATCCTAATAGTCATTTGTATGAAGTATTATAAGTAAAATTTGTTTTAATAGATGTGCTAAACATAGGCTAATACTAATTTAACGATGGTTAATCGTGCAACTATTAACACAGATGATAAGGGCGACATTTGGTTTGTGATGTTAGCTTTTTTAATGACTACTTGTCGGTTTTTCCCCGATCGGTTAGTGGTTATCTGTTTTTATTTATTGAAGTGAAACTTCTTTAGCGGCGGTTGGTTGGTTGGGAGTAAATTGGCAAATTCAACGGAAATTGCACACGGAAATGGTGCAACGGAAATGGTTGGGGCTGAAACAAGTGCTTCTTGTGTGTATGCATATGGTATTAATTTAATAAACATTTGCTAATATATAAAAGGTTAAAGAATAACACTTAGAAAAAGACCAATACAAGAATGAAAGTAAAGGTGACTACGTACATAGATAAAGAAAAGGATAAAGGCAAAGGTAAAAATAAAAACAAGAACAAAGATGCGTACTTATATCTATAAGGGCAAAGGTGAAGGGGAATATATAGATGAAGAAAACGATAAACATAAAAGTAAAGACAAAGTGGAGGATACCGATAAAATTAAAGATGAAGATAGGGGAAGAACGACTAATATAAAGGTAAATACAGAGGAAAGGATATAGAGAGAGACACAGAGACTCATCCTGAGAACTATTTTGGGATTTTAGAGATTTTCGGGATTCTCGGGATTTATCGATAAAATAATCGATATTTTGGTCGGTTTTGTTTGTCGATAGTTTTACCGATTTTTCTATCGAAATTTTTATCGATATTGTTATCAATTTTGCTATCGGAATTTTCGGAACTTATCGATATAATAATCGATATCTTTATCGATTTGTTATTGATTTTGTAATCGATGTTTTTAGATATTTTGTTAGCGATATTTTTCATCGATATTTATCGATTTTGTTATCGCTATTTATAGATTTTGTTGTAGATATTTATCGATTTTGTTATCAATATTTATCGATTTTGCTATGGATTTTGTTTTCGATATTCATGAGTTTTGTTATTGATATTTATCGATTTTACTATTGATATTTATTGATTGTGTCACCGATATTTATCGATTTTGGCATGGATATTTATCGATTTTGTTATCAATTTTATTATAGATATTTATCGATTGTTTTATCGATATTTATCGATTTTATTATCGATATTTATCGATTTTATTATCGATATTTATCGATTTTGTTATCAATATCATCGATTTTGTTATAGATATTTTATCGAGTTTGTTATCGATATTTTTATCGATTTTTTTATTTATATTTTTATCGATTTTGTTATGGATATTTTTATCGATATTTCTATCGAGTGTCTAATAGATTTTGCTACCAATATTGTTATCGATTTTGCTATAGAAATTTTTATCGGTTTTGTTATCGATATTTTATGGGATGTTACTATCGATTTTGTTGTTGTTGTATAAAGATAAATGTGAAGATAAAGGAAAACAAAATAACATAAACGTAATTAGAGCGAACAGGCGTAGCGGTAGGGATCTAGATAAAAAAATATAACCTTAAGCAAAAGCAGATGTATGTATGTATATAAATGGTTATGAGACAAAACAGATACATATGTGTGTAACGAAAGTTTCACTTCTCCAGTGGGGCTCGCTTCACTTGTAATTCCACATACAATTGTCAGTGTGGCTTGAATCCGCTCCCATTGGTACCTATAGATCCTGCTTTTATCATTGCTTACGTGTATGACCAGCTTGGTGCGTCTTGGACTTTTTCGGCGTCCTTACGGAGCTTCCATTACCGATTTCTGACGTCAATCAGTATGTGGCTGCCACTAGTTGGCGAGCTTAAGGCACTAGCAGCAGCTGCATGTTTGCTATGTGATAAGCTTAATACTGGAGGATATGGCTTTTGCACTTCTAGCCTCCCGACTTAAGTATTTCACTTTTATGAGAGGAAAAAGGTCTTGAGCTCCCCCTTTCCGGGTGCAGTTAGTAGGTGCAGTTGACCATTTTTTGTTGAAACAACACGTGGAGAAAACAGCACTCAGACTACTTGTTGTCCATTGTACCATTTTCTTGTTCCCATAATATATTTTAAATCTACTACATGGCTTGTTAAGTGGTAAAGAGCTCAGGTGCTCGGCTCTCATATCATCGCAGCCAAAAGCCTCATAGATAATTGCAAAATCCCATTTTCTTTTAGGCAGGAGAGCCAAGTGGGTTTGTCATGAATGGCTATCACAGTCAGGTGCTTAACCTGTTGGCGAAAAGTAACCAGCCAACAGTCCCACAAGTCGTCTGCAAATACATAGAAAGTCACATCGAGAGCAACATGCCATTACCCAACTGTAGCCCTTCAAAGACTTCTAGTTACTGCACAGCCATATGTTCACCCAATTTTTTACCGTGGCTTCGACGGCCGGTAGCGAGAGTGCCTAAACTGGTGTGAGACCAAGGAAAGCCTGATCTGAGCCTTCCCAAGTCAAGTGGTCAGTTGTAGTTCATGGCCTTGAGGATTGCAAATACCTCAGCCTGGAAGACCTAAGCATATTGTCCAAGAGAAAAGTGAAGCTTATCCCTATTAACTTCTATTTCAGTCAGTTTTCAAGAGTTAGTTTTGGAGCCATCAGTGAAAATTCGACAATGTATGACTCTGAGCTTAGTGCTGGAATTAAACCAGCATTCAGCCTCAGGGAACTCAGCATTATAGAATCTTTTCAACTAACGTACCATCCTGTGGCATTAAAAAGAAGGACTCGAAAAAGTGGATACACGGCAATAATACCTGCGTGCTCGGGATGAAGGACTTTAAACTTATTGCCTTACAAAACTCAGGTAAGACTCGGGCTTGAATATTAGCAAGAAGCAACATAAACATCTTCTTGCTTCCAAAGCTTAGCAGTGGCGACTTGGTAGCGGCAAGCATTGAGCTTCTGGGTAGCCTCTACCTAAATGGGCTATGAGAAGGTCGCCCCGCGAGATGAGGCTCGGGCACTTGTGAAGGAGGCGGCCTCCAAGAACAAACATTTGGTTGTCTCCTGTGAGGGTAATGCCCACAATACCCTGTGGGTAAGTATGGACACTAATGAAAGAGGTGAGTCATTATAAGACGTCGTTCTAGGAAATAAACTCAATGTTATGAATTTAGGCACAGAGCCGACCTTTATAACAAAGAACAGAGAAGAAGTTCTGGATATAAGCCTGACTTCTGACCAGTTTGCTTATAACATCAAGAGATGGAAAGCCTCGAATGGAATGTCCTACTCTGACCATCGTTACATTTAGTACGAAATAGATCTTAGGACCCTCCAGATCAGCGAGTTTAGAAATAACAGAAAGACCGACTGGGGAGTTTACAACAAAAAACTAAGGTTTTTACTGCCAAACACGGCCAAACCTAGCGAGTGGAGCTGGACGGAGGAGAAGCTCGGCCAAACACTAACATATGCGTAAGCGCAAATCTATTATTATTATTATTAATAAATATACGAGCATTTTGCGATATGCATACTGATTTGAAAAATTTCGATAGCATGCAGTTTCTTCTGAATTTCCTGTGCGTCATTTTATATGAATTTTTAATTTTTTTTAGAGGTGCAGACAGCACTTGAAGTTGCTAAATTTAATTACTATAATTTTCCCAACGTCTTCAGGGCTCCTAACCCTAAGTATTGAGTAAGTATCGCGAATATAAAAAAGTATCGACGTGTTAAAAGCTTTTTAAGGACTTTTTTTTTCAATTACATACAAAATTTCGCTTTTTAAATTACACTGGACAATTTTTGAAATTTTTCCAAACAAAATTGTAGCGCACGTTCGAAAATTACCTTACCTATATGTATGAATGTCGTGAAAATGAACATAACGCTCATTTACTTCAATACTGACCATTTCCAGTTAGATCAGTCGGTTGATGCTTTCAGATTAACATGTTAAGTATCTACATATATTTTCTTTCTGAAAACAAAATTATTAATTTACATATTATTAAAATACTGTTAAATCTAGTAACTCCTTATATGAAACAAATTTCCAACACATCCTTTCAACTCAAAATATTATGTGTTATCCATGCCATTGAATGTGTGACGTTTTCAAACATAAACGGCACATTAGTCAAATTGCCACACCTGTGCATATAGCCAAGAGATACCAAGCCAATTTGCACATAACGGTTTTTAAAATAACCCGGGCGAGTGCGATCTCGAGTTTTCCAAAACATTGGACCACCAGAATCCCCACGACAAGAAACCATATCCTTTTCAGAACGGCTGCAGATTTTCGAATCATCAACCGAATAGCGGGCATACAAGCGCTTACAAACTTCTAACGCCTCGGGTTTTAGTAATCCTTTCTGGAGTATGTCAGCAGGTTCATCTATACAAATTGTTAGTCAAGTTAAGATAAAGTTTATTTTTATATATAAAAAGAGTGAGTACCATTCTCTTTAAGACCCCAGCCAGCTATGATTAAATCACTATCCGGTAATAGCGTAAATTCCTCGGGTGTCGTGGGCAAACAAATGGGTTTAATATTGACATGGTAGCGAGTGGTATGTCTATCTAAAAAGTAAAAATACAGAAATATACTTATATATTTGTGTACATAAAGTAGTTTTTTTATTTGAAAATCTAAATAAATGCATGTATCTAAATAATCCCAAAAAAGTATTTTTGCACTTACTTGAAAATCTTATAGTATCGTTAAGCTTGATCAAAGCGATATCCTTTTTGGTCGCATAATCGTAGTCTGGATGTTTAATTGTTTTTTTCGATACCAAATTCCTGGTATGTAACACAC